TCACTGAGGACCAAGTCACTCTCCTAAATCTGGGTATAAACTGTCACGTTATGTCCAGACCGAGTGAGATGGCCCGGAAAGTGGAGTTGGAAATTCTGTTGAACGACATATTCGACCTCGAGACACAAAAGAAGGTCACTACCAAAGATACCTTACAAGCAGAACTTATTGCGGAAGGAGGAAAGAATCGAGGCAACTACAGAAGCACCATACTGTCCCCCGAGCTCAAAGCGGCAGCTAAGAGCCTTCGTGAGAACAAGGAGATAGTTGTCAGGAGAGGCGACAAGTCGCCAATATACGTCATTCTTAAAAAAGACGAATATCTGGCGAAAATGAACCTCATACTCTCTGACCAAACTAAATTCCAAAGGGTAACGAAGGACACTACAGCCGAATTGAAAGCAAAGGTCAACAAACTGATCGAAACTGTGAACGCCAAGAAATCCGGACTCCACCTGCCAAAGATTATTGGGGAATATAAACCTGGATATGCGTATGGAAATGTCAAGACACACAAGCCTGGAAACCCACTTCGGCCAATCATCAGCCAGATACCCACACCCACGTACAGACTGGCGAAGCGACTCAACGGCCTGCTGACTCCTTATGTCCCTTGCGCCTTCAGCCTGAAGTCTCCAAAGGAATTTGTTGACTTACTACGGGGCACACGGGCCACAGGGATAAGAGCCTCGTTGGACGTAGAATCACTGTTTACCAACGTACCTGTGGACGAGACAATCGGGATGATAGCCGACAGAGTGTATCGTGATCCGGCCTGTACTCCTCTTGACATACCAGAAAACATTCTAAGGAAACTACTTCAAGCTTGTACTAAAGAGGCACCCTTCTTGAACTCGGATGGGCACATGTATAAGCAAGTAGACGGGGTCGCCATGGGTTCTCCCCTAGGTGTTCTGTTTGCAAACTTCTACATGGGTACCATCGAGCAAAAAGTCTTAGTCGACATGAACTTGAAACCGGCCATATACTGCAGGTATGTTGACGACATTTTTACACAGGTACCTGATGTCAGACATCTGCAGGAGCTGAAGGAGGCATTTGAGCAGAGTTCCGTGCTGCGTTTCACTTACGAGATGGAAAAGGATGGGAAGCTGCCCTTTCTAGATGTAACAGTCATGGAAAAGAGCGGAGGTTTCCACACTGCAGTCTACACTAAGGAAACGAACATAGGAATGTGCCTAAATGCCAACAGCGACTGCCCAGACAGGTACAAGAGGAGTGTAGTTAACGCTTATGTCGACCGTGCTCTCAGCCAAGGCTCAGAATGGAAGCAAGTCGACGAAGAACTCTGTAGGGTAAGGCAGGTCTTAGTCAACAACGGCTTCTCCAATGGTTTCGTCGAAGACATCATAAGAAGGAAAGTGAAACGCCATGCAACCTCTGAAGAGACAACTAACACAACACCTATACCCCCTATCAGACTATTTTACAGGAACTTATTTTCCACAGCTCATAAAACGGAGGAAAGGTCCTGAAAGATATTGTTAATAGAAACGTTATCCCTACAGACAAAAATCAGAGGATACAACTGACGATTTACTATAAAACCAGAAAAACGGCCAGCCTACTCATGAGAAACTCTCCAGAAACAAAGCAGAACGCTTTAAAAGAGACCAACGTCGTCTATGCCTTCAAATGCCCTCTTGGGGACTGTAAGCTCCAAAAAACTCAGTATATAGGTAAGACAACAACATCTCTTTCTAGGCGTTTAACGATGCATAAGCAACAGGGCTCCATTAAGGAACATATAATCTCTTCCCACAACCAAACCATCGCCAGAGAAATCCTAGCAAACAACACAGAAATCATCGATAGATACAGCGATAGCAGGCGGCTTGACGTCTGCGAGGCACTACACATCAAGAAGTCAACACCAGCAATCAACAGCCAACTAATGCACAACTATATTCTACCCACCTCAAGACTCCGCTCCAATATAGAAGCATCAAGAATTATGGACCAATAGGCTTGCTACAATCACTTCCATTCAATACCCATTGTTTCGTGTTCTGTCTTGAGTTTAGGAATTTAATACCCTATTAATACCACCTCACCCCATCCACCTCACTCAAATGTAGATATAAACAAATCGAAGATGTGTTAGTTCTATTCAGTTGTGTATGTGTAAACTAAAGTCTTTGAAAATGTAATAAGTTTTACGAAACGCGCTCAAGTGTCGCGTCAGACTAGAAATAAAAATTAATTTTGGAGAATTGATTTTTGAATTACCACCAACAGTGAAAAGAAACGTACGAAAGATCGAGAAAATTCGTGTTAGAATTATTAATCTTACTTTTTCGGTCATATTTAATAATATATATATATAGGAATATATATATATATATATATATATATATATATATATATATATATATATATATATATATATATATATATATATATATATATATATATATATATATATATATATATATATATATATATATATATATATATATATATATATATATATATATATATATATATATATATATATATATATATATATATATATATATATATATATATATATATATATATATAAGGGATACCACCTCTGGTGGAAGTGTAGGGACACATAGCCTCAGAGAAGAAAATAAAGAGTACTCAGAGAAGACCTTGTGGATCCTCACTGAACACTTTGATATTTTCTTCTCCTACCACCCCTATTCTTTTGGTATGTGTGTATATTTATCAAACTTTATTTGAAAATGTCATTTCACAAAAAAAGTTACAATATTGATTACATGCAGGGTACAAGGCTGCTTGTCACAAATTGAACAGCTACTCCAGTTCCTCAGATGGCGGGCAGGAACTATGGATGCAGTGAGCGTATCCTCTCTGGATTGCCACACTAAGGGGCTGAAAAAGAAAACTGGCAGCTCTAGGGTCTCTAGTTGTTTCGATTAGCTTAGACCCCAACTCCTTCAAAAAACTAGCAGCACTTTTACCCCAGGCACCAAGTGTCTGAGGCAATAGGGATAAAATTGTAGTGTTGCTCGAGGTCTCTGTATTTACGTGACGTGGCCGCTTCCCAGTGATTGGCAGCTACTCCTGCTTGTGTAGCACTGATGTCAACATAGGTATTGGCTAAAGTTGAAACGCAAGAGTAGTCTCACACTAACTGTCTACCATTCTTCCAGGGGTTCACCGTGATTCCGTCTATATATATATATATATATATATATATATATATATATATATATATATATATATATATATATATATATATATATATATATATATATATATATATATATATATATTTATATATATATATATATATATATATATATATATATATATATATATATATTATATATATCTACTAGCAGTACCCAGCTACACGCTGTTCTGGCTCAGCAACGCACATGCGTTGCTGAGCCACGGCAACCGTCCCTGTGCCCCTGTCCTCCCCACCATTCCCCCCTCACCCGTCTCTTCGGCCTCCCAACCATTCCCCACTCCACCGTCCCCTCGTCCTCCTCACCATTCCCCACGCCACCAATCTATCTTCCTTCCCACCATGCCCCACTCCCCTGTCTCTTTGTCCTCCCCACTATACTCCATTCCTCCATCCCCTCGTTCCCACCATCCCAAACTCCCCCGTTTCCTAGTTTTTCCCCACCATTACAACCCCCCCCCCCACCCTCCCTTGTCCTCTCATCCTCCCCACAATCTCTCACTGCCGTCCCCTTGTCATCCCCACCATTCCCCACTCCCTCGTCCGATACATTCCCAAATGGTATGATGTTTCCATGAGAAAATTTGGAACATCAAGTGATCTGATGTTCCCATCACTGAAATATATGAAAAACAGTTAAGAATTAAATGAAAAAATGAAATTAAAAAAATAAACTATACTCACGAAATGAACGGTAGGAGGGAGCCGGTCGGCCGAGCGGACAGCACACTGGACTTGTGATCCTGTGGTCCTGGGTTCGATCCCAGGCGCCGGCGAGAAACAATGGGCATAGTTTCTTTCACCCTATGCCCCTGTTACCTAGCAGTAAAATAGGTACCTGGGTGTTAGTCAGCTGTCACGGGCTGCTTCCTGGGGGTGGAGGCCTGGTCGAGGACCGGGCCGCGGGGACACTAAAGCCCCGAAATCATCTCAAGATAACCTCAAGATAGGTATGGTAAACAACACAATTCACACAAAATAGTTAAATCGAAATATAAATAAATGGAAATTTATGAAAATTCAATTTATCAATGCAATCAAAAACATTGAAATGGAATTGAAACACATTTACCATAGCATGTGTGTTGCTCTTACATGCAACAGATGGCGCTGTTTTTCAAGTAAAGCATAGTTTTACCTGTCACAGGTTTGGAATATATACTAATAATTACGAAATGAACGGTATGGTGAACAACACAGTTCAATTCCAACACAATGTCACAAAATAATTCAAATAAAAATTTAAATAAATCGAAATCTTTGAAAATAAAATTTATCAATGCAATCGAAAACATTGAAATGGAATTTATGACATATGTGGTATAACGTGCATGTTGCTATCGTGTGCAACAGATGGCGCTGTTTCATAAAAACGCGAATTTTTACCAGTCACAGAGGGTGGCATCTATATAGTAGGTATATAAAAAGACGTGCCTATTCGAATGCAATGTTGTGTCAAAATTTGAATGCAATCGGTGAAGAGGTTTCAAAGATTTCCCTCACATGAAAAACAGATGAAAACCCCAGTTTTTTTCTGAAAAATCATGTTTTTTTTTTTACCGTCACAGACGTGACATTTATATAAAATGTATATAAAAGCAGGTCGGATACGAATGGAATGTTGTGTGAAAATTTCAAAGCAATCGGTGAAGAACTTTCGTAGATTAACGATTTTGAACAAACGAACATTTCCATTTATATTTATACAGATATATACTCATAAAGACACTCATAATATTCCATATCTTATTCTATGCCTGTCTTAAAATGAATGTTTCTTGGTGATGTTTTCCAGTCTGTCCAGTCCGGAATATATCGCGAAGTGTTTGAAGCTGGATCCAAAGGACGCATCGTGCACAGGAACGCCTACGAATTCCTTCAAAATTTTTCTGCCCTGCTGAGTGACCGCCGTCACGTCCTCATTGGGAATGAGATCCTCTTCAGCATAATTATCAGCAAAGAGTTCTCTCGCACAGGTTCTCCAGGGTTGTGCTCATGCCGAACGGCAACTAAGAAAAGAATGTTGTAAATTAAATAACTGTAAATGAAAAATCTGTAGATGATAATAGTTGTTAATGAGAAATTTGTTGTTATCACTTATGGTTATATAGACTCTCAAATGCACAGTCATATGCGGGAGACAGGACCAAAGACCCAAAGCTCAACCCCCGCAAGCACAACTAGGTGACCACATAAAGACATTCATAGTTAATACAAAATATGAAGACAGATAAAACCAGAAATGAGGATTACTCATTATGGTAATAATCATGCACATTGAGATTACTGTAAAGCTTCAGTCTAGTGGTAAAAATCACGAATAAGAAAACGTTAAAGTTAGGATGAAGAAGGTAATTAAATTGTGGACATGTTCACCCAAGTCAAGAGTCTTCTAGTTTTATAAATCAGCTGTCGTGTCGTGTTCTATCTAAAATGTTTAACTCCTCATTATAGTCGTATAATCAATCATACACAAGGACTATATGCACGGGGGGTGCGTAATCAACTCCCAGGTACATGTACATTAAGAGTGTGCTTTAGTTATGAACTATGTGCAGCACTATTGTATGATTGCAGGAGTATCAGTACATCCCGTCCTCCACAGCGTTCATAACGTCTCTAAAATAATGCACTAAACTGTCCCAAGCCTAACCTAACCTAACCAAAGACCCACAGACAGACAATGGGAATTCACGTCAATTTTGCTAGATGCTATGATTTTTAATTCATACGTTTTTGGCCTTAGTAGATTAAATGCGACGTATTACTCGAGAGGACGGATTTTTCAGTAAGTTGTTGTGATGGTATTAAAACTCCTCCTGAATTTGAGCATTAACTATTCCTTATCATTTTCTAACAATTATAGTAATACCCATATGTATTGACAGTAACATATTGCTTTGTCTCAAAATATTGTTTTAAATGAAGCCGAAAATGGTAGCTTAGTTGAGAAAATCTTTGAAGCAAGATGGATCGTGAACAAGCGTCATGGATTCTTACAAATAAACAATAGGAGTCTGGAGGCGCTGAACTTGTCCCAAGAACTGAATCCCACATATGTGAGAACTGTATCCCACATATTCGGGAACTGTATCCCACATATGTGGAAACTGTATCCCACATACACTGGTGTTGGTAATGGAGTTCCCCACCAAACGCTCCCTTCAAATAAACAAAAAAATCACAGAATCGCACGTCCTAAGCGCTAGGGCCCTCCACCAGCGTTACCTGTGTCACCATCTTGGCCAGCCATATATCAATGAGGAAATCACTGAGTCAGGACAGGGAGCGAACAACAGACCTGGTTGACCAGAAGTCACCATGTAAATTTCCGTTAGTTTATCTACAGGCCTCTGGCCTCCAACCATTGAGATATATACAAATAAATGAAAGTTTCGTTTTATTGATATAGATAGAGCATAAATTTGAAATGGCACTCTTAATATCAGTTATTGTATTTCCTACAGGAAACTGTTACTACTACTTATCGAGGGAGAGATTACTGCCCTCTTCAATGGTATCTATAGGACAGAAGAACAGTCCTCTTGTTCCTGCATTAAGTAAAAGGTACAGATATTTTTTTGTATTACTGTATAGCGATTAAAATTTTTAATTATTAATATATATATATATATATATATATATATATATATATATATATATATATATATATATATATATATATATATATATATATATATATATATATATATATATATATATATATATATATATATATATATATGCAATTGACGATCACAAAACACTGATCATTTTATGCGGAAAATCCACAGAGAAATATGAAATGAGGTTAACGTTTCGGCTTTGTTAAAGCCTTTGTCAAAGCCGAGGCTTTAACAAAGCCGAAACGTTCACCTCATTTCATATTTCTCTGTGGATTTTCCGCATATATATATATATATATATATATATATATATATATATATATATATATATATATATAGATATATATATATATATATATATATATATATATATATATATATATATATATATATATATATATATGTCGTACCTAGTAGCCAGAACGCACTTCTCAGCCTACTATGAAAGGCCCGATTTGCCTAATAAGCCAAGTTTTCATGAATTAATTGTTTTTCAACTACCTAACCTACCTAACCTAACCTAACCTAACTTTTTCGGCTACCAACCCTACCTAAAGGTTAGGTAGGGTTGGTTAGGTTCGTTCATATATCTACGTTAATTTTAACTCCAATAAAAAAAAATTGACCTCATACATAATGAAATGGGTAGCTTTATCATTACATAAGAAAAAAATTTGAGAAAATATATTAATTCAGGAAAACGTGGCTTATTAGGCAAATCGGGCCCTGCATAGTAGGCTGATAAGTGCGTTCTGGCTACTAGGTACGACATATATATACATATATATATATATATATATATATATATATATATATATATATATATATATATATATATATATATATATATATATATATATATATATATATATATATGCGAACAAGCCTGAATGGTCACCAGGACTATATGCAACTGAAAACTCACACCCCAGAAGTTGCTTGAACCCATACTGCCAGGAGCAAGGCAATTGGTATGGACAGGATGCCTTAATCTTCTTGACCATCACGACTTGACATATGGAAGTGATAGCCGAAGCTATTTGAACCACTTCCCCGCCGGAACTCGGATGGTAATCTTGGCCATAGTATTTTATCAAATCACCTCATTCTTTGGGGCACACGTGAGGAACACAAATGCGAACAAGCCTGTATTGTCCCCAAGGCCTATGGGGACCATTCCTTATATCCGGTCATGATTGTCAAGCGGATTAAGGCGTCCTGTACATACCAGTTGCATTGCTCCTGGCAGTATGGGTTCGAGTCACTTCTGGGGTGTGAATTTTCAGATATATATATATATATATATATATATATATATATATATATATATATATATATATATATATATATATACTATATATATATATATGTATATATATATTATATATATATATATATATATATATATATATATATAATATATATATATGCGAACAAGCCTGAATGGTCCCCAGGACAATATGCAACTGAAAACTCACACCCCAGAAGTGACTCGAACCCATACTCCCAGGAGCAACGCAACTGGTATGTACAAGACGCCTTAATCCACTTGACCATCACGACCGGACATAATGAGGTGATAGCCGAGGCTATTTGAACCACCCCACCGCCGGCACTCGGATAGTAATCTTGGGCATAGCATTTTACCAAATCACCTCATTCTTTGGGGCACACGTGAGGAACACAAATGCGAACAAGCCTGAATGGTCCCCAGGACAATATGCAACTGAAAACTCACACCCCAGAAGTGACTCGAACCCATACTCCCAGAAGCAACGCAACTGGTATGTACAAGACGCCTTAATCCACTTGACCATCACGACCGGACATAATGAGGTGATAGCCGAGGCTATTTGAACCACCCCACCGCCGGCACTCGGATAGTAATCTTGGGCATAGCATTTTACCAAATCACCTCATTCTTTGGGGCACACGTGAGGAACACAAATGCGAACAAGCCTGAATGGTCCCCAGGACAATATGCAACTGAAAACTCACACCCCAGAAGTGACTCGAACCCATACTCCCAGAAGCAACGCAACTGGTATGTACAAGATGCCTTAATCCACTTGACCATCACGACCGGACATAATGAGGTGATAGCCGAGGCTATTTGAACCACCCCACCGCCGGCACTCGGATAGTAATCTTGGACATAGCATTTTACCAAATCACCTCATTCTTTGGGGCACACGTGAGGAACACAAATGCGAACAAGCCTGAATGGTCCCCAGGACAATATGCAACTGAAAACTCACACCCCAGAAGTGACTCGAACCCATACTCCCAGAAGCAACGCAACTGGTATGTACAAGACGCCTTAATCCACTTGACCATCACGACCGGACATAATGAGGTGATAGCCGAGGCTATTTGAACCACCCCATTAAGGCGTCTTGTACATACCAGTTGCGTTGCTTCTGGGAGTATGGGTTCGAGTCACTTCTGGGGTGTGAGTTTTCAGTTATATATATATATATATATATATATATATATATATATATATATATATATATATATATATATATATATATATATATATATATATTGTGACAGTAATCTCTTTCAAGAGAGATTTAGCTTGCTCTTTCCTACATCTCGTTACTTCTTTACGTCTGCAACATCAAGATACCACATTCAAGAATATTATAGAAGTGGAATAACAGACGTCTCTACTTGGGGGGCACATTCACTCCACACTCCCCTCCTCGCTGTCGCCGCACCACCCTCGTCGATCACCAAACTACCACTTCATGCCAACTCTCTCCCCATTAGTGAATCAGCGACTTCACGCGACTCCAGCGCCATCTGCTCGCCTATATATTGTCTTGCACGAGCAGTTGGCCTCAGAATATTCTTTGTGCTCTACAGCTGACGCTTCTATCTAAGCATACGTCTAGTATACTAAGTGGAGGTTTCAGCCAGTCAATATTTTCAGCACCATTTACTTATTTTTTTGTCTTGCTAATTGTAAAGTAACATAACCATTATTTTATTTTACATTGTGTTTTTATCTTTGTTTTGATCAGCACTGTACATAGCTAAGGGATTATCTTTATTTTGTTTCTGTTTGTTTAGAGTAAATTAAAGTTTCATTATTTATAAGATTTGTTTTGCGTGTTTTTCCCTCTCACTTTACCTCAGGATGACAACCGCCAACCAGTCAACTTTTTTTTCTCTTTTTTTTTTCTAATGTGATTGGCATTTCCACCAGCCATAGAGAAGACTGCCTTAACACCTACATTTCTCGTCACATTAATGGGAGCCTGTCGTAGGAGCTTCACCCAGGTACTGATACTAGACCAATCATTTTAATTTGTGGTAAGTGTACTTTCATAACTTTCAATAATTTTTATGGTGCTGTGTATTTTGTGCTTTCCAAGTGTAACATTTTATGAGTGTTGGATGACTGTGGATTACGTGGTGTCTGTTGGTCATAGTCACTCTCTTAATTGGTTGTTCATCCCTCGGTGTTATTACTCGTGTATTCCACCTTTCTCGTCCCTAGAATATTTCTCATTTATGGCAGATCACCCCCTTTGGTACCCTGGTACTTGGTTTGTCTTCGGGACACGTACCTTATCTTCTGCAATCCGACCGAAGGACGATATAGAGGGCCATAGTTCCTCTCGCACGGACTACGCGGTTCAGTTGGGACCTCAATAAGCAGTTCTCGTCACCAGTTGACACTCGCACCCCTACGCGTCGATCAGAGATTATTATACTTACCCAGGTAGGGAATTGGCATTCTTTTTACAGAGCACAAAGAACGCTAATTCTGTAAGTGTCATCTTGTTAAGTAGGAAACCTCTTGCTTCTGTCCTATAGAGACCCGGCAAGGTATCCCTACGCTTTTGGACTACCTTTCAATTTTGAAACTATCAAGCTTCATTTATTTTAGTAGGATTTTCTTGTCCTTATTCTCGTATATTGAGTACCGGGTATAAGATTTCCCTGCGTTTTGATTATTTACTCATTTAACATCTAATATTAACGTTAATTGTTTTCAATTAACGAAAATCTATGAAAACAATTAATTAATCTAATTGTCTAATTAGAAAAATCTAATAAAAAAATTAAGAAAAAAAATGCAAGGGATTGAAGATCAATGGCATTTTTTCTGAAGTAAAAATGTTAAGTAAAAGAATATTTACTCATGGTACATCATATACAAAACTTCTGGACAATGCATCAGCAATGACATCTGCCTGCCCGGAATATGTTTAATCTCCACATTAAATTCTTGTAGAAACAATGACCAGCGCAGAATTCGTTGGTTCTTGATTTTCATCATATTAATGAATACAAGGGGATTGTGGTCAGTAAACACTAACACCTTATTACCTGAAAGGTAAATTTCAAATTTCTTGATTGACAATATGAGACCCAACGCCTCCTTTTCTACCATTGAATAGTTCTTCTGGGCTGAATTAAATTTTCTAGAGTAATAATATACAGGATGGTCAATATTATCTAGACCAACTTGTATAAGCACAGCACCTATTCCAACATCTGAAGCATCAATATGTAAAATAAAAGGTTTATCAAATTGGGGACAAGCAAGAACAGGTGACGTTGACAATATGCCCTTTAATTAAGTTCTGAAATGAATTCTGGCAATCTTGAGTCAACTTAAACTTTACTTGCTTTCGCAACAAATTTGTCAATGGGGCAGCAACTGTCGAAAAATTTCTACAGTACCGCCTATAGTAAGCACACATACTGATAAATCTTTGGACTTCCTTCTTTCTGGTTAACACTGGGTAGTCCACAATGGCTTGTATCTTATCTTGTAAAGGAATTATCTTACCTTGTCCTACTTCATGCCCAAGATAGGTTATAGTCCCTCTTGCCCAACTACACTTATTCATATTCACTGTTAAATTGGCGTTTTTCAACACCGTAAACAATTGCTTAAGGCCTGAAAGATGATTTGCCCAA